CTAGGTCAATCTTACTAAGCATTCCAGCCCAAGGGGTGAACCCCTTGGGCTGGAATTAAATGGCGTATGTGCTCTAACTTTATCAGTTCGTGGTATAACGCTACTACCAACCACTGCGACCGATGATCATCCACTTCAACTTGACATAGTGGATCTCACCGGTCACGACTTCTTCTCCGATGAGCTGGAGATGGATGTTTAAAATATGGGTTATATAGAGATCTGGAGTAATTTCATAATTCTTTCATTATTACAATACTTCTGTTTGTTTTAATTTTGGTCTGATCATAGGAACATTTCAGTGATTCTCTGAGGTGGCTGGAGGAGATTACAAGTTTCTAAATGTCTAACAAATTAACCACCACAATAAAATACAACCAGTGGTCGTGAAAAACAAGTGCTAGTGTTTGCATTTTCTCGAAGAAACTCTGTATTACATCACCATCTTTTCATTCCTACACGGTGAATTTTAATTTTTCAATATTGTGAGTTCTAGTCACTGTATTTCGCTATCTCTGATTATGCAATTATCACTGACTTATCACCAATTGGACAAACTCCGCAGGTGGTTCGGGGTTCGATCCCCGGCCACCGACGCAATCCTTTACCTCGCTAAGCTAATAATAAGACTGGTAAAGAAGGAAGGTTGGGCATGAAGCTAGCAGCCCCATTCCGTAAAAATACATACCACTGCTACCGAAACTTCAAAACTCTAGCTTGAAGCCCTATGTTCCACTGGGAACGCAAAGGAAGAAGATATATCAATTTGAGATGATATTATCGCCCTTATGACTTTGTGGAAACAATCCTTACTGGAGGACTGATTCCTAGTGATGTATGTTAAAGTTGTATAATAACTTTTGATTGGCCACTAATAACTAGTGTGATGTGTCTAGTTCTTTCTTTGGTGCGGACTGAGTTCTGTCTGTTAGGTTTGCAATGTAGCTCGCCAACACGGTGCACATTGATTTGATGATATTAGATGGTTGGAGGCAATCGGCAGGAAGCCTTGCTTGACCTAGCTTTCGTGCTAGTCGACACTCACCAGTCGGCAAGGCGTATCTGCAACCTTGAAGAAACTCATGTCCTTTCTGAGATCAGTGGTAACGTCTCTGACTGCAGCAGTCACTAGGTGTCGCAGGTTCGAATATCAGAAGGGATATGAGTTCCTTCGAGGTTCCAAATACGCATTGCTGACTGGTGAGTGCCAACTAGCACGAAACCTAGGCCAAGCACGGCTTCCTGCCGATTGCCTCCAACTATCTAATATAATAACTTTTTATCAAATACATTACTGTAAAAGCTCATTTTTAATATGTGGATTTAAGTGATCGTTTCTCAGATTTTTTATTTGTTGGGATTCGGTCGTGATTTCAAAACACATCTCGACGCCAACCAACATCAGCTACAAATCCACCGAAAACTAATGAGTAGCAGATGAATTTCACCAAGGTTTTGACCCTTTATTCATGAGATTTTAGCTGAGTAACTGTATGGAAATGTAATCGTTTTGGACCATGGTGGTATTTCTTGGTTTTCAATGGTCTTAAAATAACGCCAGTTCATAATGGGATCCACTTGGCCAGATTGTAAGTATTCATCAAGTGAGGTCAATAAGACTTTCGCAACGCACAACTAAGAACTCCCTACATCAGCGCAGTGGTACTTAGAACATGCGACAATAAATCATTGAGCTTTCAGCACAAAACTTTGCATAGAAATCCTACAGTTCAAGTCAGAGCACTTCATGTAGTACAAGGGCTCCAGCTATTGATTCTTAGAGTGTCGTGGACACCAATCAAGCAGTCTACACTTAACTATGTGACTCAAACCAACAGTCAACGACTTCAAGGACTGATGTCAGATTTTTACGTCAGCCAACATTACTGGATGAGGAAAGCCATGACTTAATGTGCGTAACACGTGGCTTAACCATCTCACAATTGAGGCTATTTCACCACCTTATCGAGTGAATGCTCCGAAATGAAGTTGGAAGTATGGTTCTAAGAGACTATCAGTAGTGTTTCTCTAGTTCTGGCCGCTAATAATGGTTGCAAAGTAAAGAAAAGGTGGAAGACCTACCGGTGAAACAGTATAAACAGTGGGAGGAACACAAGAAGCTGAAGTTAACGGAGATGAATGTGAGTGGTGATCAAGAAAACCTGATGCTTAAGTCATGTTACACACAGCCTATACGAAGAAACTTTTGAGTTGGTGTCCCTATGAAAATCTTACCGCCTACTACTACAGACCTTCTCAAGATAATTCGAGATGTAACATTTCCAGGGTCAAACTTTTCCAATCTCCTCCCCAGAGCGGACACGCAGCATAGTTGGCTTGCTGATCATTCAAAGGGAACGCTTTACTGCCGTTACACCCACCCCCCTATCCACTAGCAGTATGATTTCGCCCAAAGACGCACAACATAGTGTGAATTACCTACACTAAGATGGTACCTGTCTTTTAGTCTAACCAATATCTAAATTATCTTTCTTAGCAATGGTAACACCACCAGGAACATTCCTTCCAACCAGTGAAAGCCCAACTACTAAGTTAAGGTAGCAGCTATCTGTCCAGCATATGACAGTTAAATTGTGAAAATAAAACACCACTGTGAATACTGAAGAAAAACTGGTATATAACCTAAGAAGTGGACAAATAACTATACGTTTTACTATGGTCTCAACAAGTAAATATTTCATAAACAGTATAGAAATGAATGACATGTATTGCAGATCGAACTATTTGCAGACTCATTCTGTATCAAGTGTAGCCTAGAACCCATGAGGTTATATACCACTGACTGATTGAGATGAGTAGTCATATACCAGCCAACCGGCATCAACTTGTAGTGGTTGCCAACCGGCCAAATCGAAGGGATCTAAACACCAAACGGTCGTTTCACTCGTTTAAAGCCGAGCTCATCAGCGCGCCGTACGCGGTTTAACTCAGCCCAAACAGTCGAGTTAGTTCAAAACCACCCAAATTCTGGCTAGCTCTACTTGGATTATTATTATTATTGCTTCCTTTAATTCCTACAGGAACATAGGGCTTCAGCCGTGCGTCTCCATTGCGTTCGGTCCTCTGTTAGAGTCTTCACCTGGCTCCATGTCTGCCCACATGTCTTCATCTCCTCTTCACATGACCTCCTCCAAGTCACCCTTGCACCGACGACCAACTCGCCGCTTCCCTTTCGGGTTCCACTCGATCGATGGCTTGTCCAGTGATGTCACTTGATGGTTTCCTCTGAGTATGGCCAATCCATCTCCATTTCCTTCTGCCTATTTGTTTCACAATCGGTTCCTGGTTGTTTCGCTCATTGCCAGAGATCTCTGTTGCTGATCTTTTCTGGCCATCTGATCTTGAGTATTGGGCGAAGACAACTGTTAATGAAGGTCTGTAGTTTGTTTGAGATGCTGTTTATGACGCGCCAAGTCTCTGATCCATCCGTATAGTCGCACTGACTTCACATTGGAGTTGAAAATCCGGATCTTATTTTTGATGCTCAGTGCTGTTGACCTCCACACAGACTTAAGGGTAGTGAAAGCTTGCCTTACTTTCCCGATCCTCGCTTTGAAATCCTCGACAGTTCCGTCCGCCTGTAGTTGAAACGATGCTTCCTAGGTAGGTAGGTAAAAGAGGTCGTTTCTTTCAGGTTCCTCCCATTTATGCTGATTGTTGTCTGTTGTTGTCGTTATTGCTGTTGGTGGTGTTGCTCGGGAATCTTCATCACCTCTGTTTTCTCTATGTTCACCTGAAGTCCTATCTTTGATGCTTCTTCTGCCAACTTGTTGCTTTTCGCTTGCATATCTTCCATTTTGTGGGAAATCAGACATATATCATCGGCTCTAATTGGATGAACCCCGGTTAATATGTTAAATCAAAGTCACCATTTGCACTTTACACACTTCAAGGAGGTGAAATGTCACCACCACCGGGGTTATTCAGATCTACGGTCAGGTAGTGCACAGAAAGAGAGAGAATTCCACCAAGTGAATGTGACCAATAGCACAAACATGAGTGAATATTTTATCCCATTGAAAAAATATTAAGCATTTTATATGATACTTTGATCGAAAATAGCTAGCTATCCCGACAAACTTATCAAGAAACACATGACAAAGAAAGCGGAAAAAGAACTACTCACTATCTGTAAACAAGAAGCCACTTTATATACGACTACAATTCAAGGGCAATACACCAAGTGAGATAATTACGAGGAAATTAAGAAAATCAGTTCAAAGAACTTTTAATGCTGGCAAACTACACATATTATTCTCTACACGACCGATAGTGCTACCTCGACTGAAAGATGAAGTACCTAGACTACCTGGCCACTTCAAATTGCATCTACCAATTCAAATGCGCTGCTTGTGGAGCGAGTTATATTGGCCGTTGCTCTAGGAACTTGATTTATCGTGCTGGCTCGAGAACATCTCCCACTATGGCTAAGTAAAAGTGTAGCTAAAACCATTAACAGTTCGATATTGGACCATTTGGTGCAAACGGGGCACAAAGACAGCGTGGAAGAATCCTTCTCTATAATCTAATAATAATAATAAATTGCCAAAATCATCGAAGCACCGCCTGCTCCAAACAGCAGAGGCTATTGCCATTCGCCTCAAACAATCAGTGCTCTGTGTTCAAAAGAAGCAAGTTCAACCCCTACTGCTGCCCTGGCCGGCCTTCAGTAGAGACTATAAATTCATGGATTTGTAATATTATCTTTCCTAATTTTTCTGACATTGAGTTTATTGTTATGTTGATTCTATTGAGCTGTAATCTATCAATATTATTGATTCGATGTTATTTAAACAACATTAATGTTGTTGTTCATAACACTAATTCATGGATTCACTATAATATATATATATATGTTTATATATATATATATATATATATCTGTAGAGCCTGATGATGAAATTATCGAAAAGAGTACTCTGTTCCGTGTCCATTCTTTTGAAAAATATTTCTTTCTTTTCAAAAGAAACAAAATTTTAATTAACTACACTTAATATTTATATTTGCGACAAAAGAGATCAACAAATTTTGTAAAATATGTCAAACACTTTCTAAACTAATCCGACTGTGTTCATTTTCATAAGATTAAACCATGTTTGCTTGTTTGTTCGTTAGTTTCCAATCACTGCACCACCGCCAGTTTTAAATAAACATTTCGTTGACTTTTCGCCTGTCTTTCAAACGTGCAGGCTCTTCAGATAAAGAGAAATCTGGAAGATCTGGAATTCTTTCCGGCATTGGAGCTAATCCCGGTTCATATCTAGGTCGGTCAGTTTTATGCAGACGAACACGATTAAAGTAATTTAATTCTGGACGTTCTTGATTCAGATGAGTTTTGATACAGTTATCAAACGGATACTGAGCTGAACGGCAACTAGTAAGTAAGGCAAAGTAAAGTAAAAAGTAATAATAAATGACATAAAAAACATCTTCACTTACATTGTATAACAGACAAAATAAGTAAATTAGACTGATGACAAGAAACTATTTCAAATGTTATACATGGATGATCTGACAATTTCTGTCCCAGTTGTTTCTGCACTAGATTGTTCTGGCATTGAATACTCCTCTACCAGAGATTAACCTATGTTCTTGTTCAAATGATCATAAACTGAACTCCTATTGTAACGACAGAAGACAATGGCCACGCAACAGATCGTTTATTGAGAATATCAAGTGATATTTATAGATTTTTATGTATATTATTGTCAGCGAAGAAGTAGCGTCTTCTGATTGGTTGTTTTCTTTATTATATTATTATTATTATTGTTCCCTTGGGTTCCCAGTGGAACATACGGCTTCAACTGCACGTCTCCACTTGCTTCTCTCTTATGCTGTACTTTTCACCTGCATCCATGTTAATCCATACTGTTTCAGCTCTTCTTAACACGATCTCCTCCATGTCACCCTTGGACGTTTCACTCGCCGCTTCCCTTTCGGGTTCCACTCGAGCACTGGCCTGACGCGCGATGTCACCCAGCGGCCTCCTCAGCAACTATCCAATCCATCTCCTGCATATTTGTTGGGCGACTGGTTCTTGTTTTGTTTGCGCCCATAGCTTCTTGTTTGTGATTCTTTCCGGCCATCTAATCTTCAGTATAGAACGAAGACAGTTGTTGACGAAGGTTTACAACCTGTTGAAAATATTCTTGGTGACCCACCAAGTGTCTGATCCGTATAGAAGAACAACTGACTTGACGTTTGCATTGAAAATCCGAATTTTGTTGTTGATGCAGGCTGAGTGACGAAGATTTCCAGATTCGTTTCAGGTTGATGAATGTGTTTCTCGCCTTCTCGATTCTCGATTTGACATCCCCGTCCGTTCCTCCTGTAGTTGAATGAAGTAACCTCTTTCAAATCCCTCCCGTTGATGGTGATTGGCGCTGGATGTTACTGTTGTTGGTTGGTAATTATCATAACCTCCGTCTTGTCTATGTTCACCTGGAGTTCTGTCTTTGCTGCTTCTTCGACCAGTTTGTTGGTTTTGTTTTCTTACTGAAGGTTATTTATTCCGTACTGCTTGTGACCGTTTCTCGGAAAGTTAAGCCATATATCTGCGAATCGTATTTGGACACGTTAAGTCTGCTGTGATTGATTGGTGAGTTCCTCAAGGTTAAGCCTTGTTATTGTGTTTTTTTCTCATGATCCCGATTCGGGACGTAACGCTGACGTAAATTGTTGTCTACAATTTTGGCTTGTTCGCAGCCAGCTTTCACCATCATACTATAAGTAACAGATTGTTACTTTTAGTTTCAGGAGGTAACAAGACTTGCATGGATTTACTCAGTTGCATGACTCTTGTAATAATAGACGGCACTGTAGCAGGAAATAAATTGAACATTATCTATTTTGGTATCAGTTTCTCTTTTGATCTTTTTTGATCATGTCATATCTTATTGATCTCTAAGAAAATCTCTCGTCTGACTTATTACAAAAGGAAGTTGAGATTTCGTGGCATAACTCAACCTCTTCGCTTACAATCTACCAGTTCATGTATTCTACCCACTCTTGTATATTGTTCTGCCGTATTTATACGTGGGCTTCTACAAACAAAAAAACTATGTTACATTGCATAGAACTTTGAAGGCTATGTGCAGGGTTGGTTGGGTGCCATTCATCCAATTTTAAATGTTGCAAACAATTGCTAAAGTTCTTAAGTTGGATACTGAAAAATCTCTTTATTGGCAACTTTCTCCTTATATTTTCAAGTACTGGTTTTGTAGGCGTTATTGTTTGATTGGTTGGAGAATTTCATCATGAGCTGACATCAGCACGGTGGGTGCGTACTGCTGAAGAGCCTCAAACTAGGACGAAACAGCTTTCCAGTACCCCCAGGTTTTCTAATGGTTCTCTGACTGGTGTCAGCTCGCGATGAGACCCTCCAACCAATCATACAATAATCCCTACAAAACCAATACTTGAAAATTTATCTGATGCTCACTAGCGACTGGCCTTATGCATGCAGTTAACCTGGGGTTCTAGTGGGAAGCCATGATCAGTAGGGTACAGCAGGTCGAAGGTGAGGCAGTAACTCATCGAAGAAGACTTCGCGAAGTGGTTACGATATGTCATGAATTGGTAGAAGTTAGAATTCATGGACTGGCCATTGGATCTGCTGGTCCCAGTGGCTTAATGGTCTACGAGCTCGCCTTGTAACCAGATGGTTCTGGGTTCGAGCCCCGGTGGTGCGTACTGAAGAAAAGTCCCAAACTAGGACGAAACGGCTTTTCAGTACCCCCGAGGATTTTCAATCGTTCTCCAACTGATGTCAGCTCATGATGAAATTTCTCCGTATATCTTTCCAGGTAAAACCATAGAAAATTATGTGAGAACTTATGCTCGTACAGCTAAATACAAAAACTCAACCATGTCGTATGTAGGACAGGTGTTGTGTGAAGTGAGAAAACGTCAGAAAAGAGCCTATAAGCCTACTTTATAATCTATGAATAAACAGCAAACTTATTACTAGTACATTACGATTGCACACATTATTTTTTCTATTAACTTTAATCGTATTCCAGTTTAATTATTTTCACTATTTTATTTATTTATTTGCAATTCTGAAAATTCCATTTTGTATAATTATTGTTTGGAATAAAGTTATTACTGTTGTTGTCATTAGGCCATGGCAGGTACTTACCGAAAGGTAAAACTAAAAGCAACTGATTTCTATTAGATGGTTGGAGGCAGTCGGCAGGAAGCCTTGGACCTAGCTTTCTTACTAGTTGGCACTGGGTGACGCGGGTTCGAACCTCAGAAGGGACATGAGTTCCTTTACGGCCTAGCTAACTAGTGAGTGCCAACTAGCTAGAAACCCAGGTCCAAAGCTTTCTGTCGATTGCCTTCAACCATTTAATACCAAAAATTCAGAGTGCACAATGATGGCGAGCTACACTTAGAATGGTGACCACTTTGCAAACCTGACTGATAGATTAATGTCAGTAAAAATGTTTGAGCATTGTGGAACAGATCAAATAAAGTATAATTATATTTCAATTCCAACAGTGGTTTGAACGCGGGCAGTAATTTTGCCAATAATTACCAATAACAAAACTTACCATTGTATGTAAACCATTGAAATATAATTATACTTTATCTGACTGATAGAATTCAGTCTGCGCCAAAGAAAGAACTAGATACATCACACTAGTCACTAGTGTCCAATCAAAACAACTGGTTTCTTCTCACAGTTTAACGATTAATATACAACGAAATACTGTGGACGAAACTGCTTCACTGGATGCACAGGGTTCAAATAGCAGTGAGGTATTTCCCGAAGGTAATCAGTGTCTCCAGCTACTAATAGGTTGTAACGACTGGCCCGAAAGTAATACATTATACGTTTACTAATTTCTATTACTGACGATAATATACACAAGTATGAGCCTTAATTAAAATATCCTTTAGACTCTCAGACATATAAAGTTATGCTTATCAACCCAAGTTCCTTTCCAAGAAGCTAACCTTCTATAGGAAGTGGAAAAGTTTCAGCTTAAGTCTCCCTTGATCATCAACGACCTTCTTCATTCCATCTGAAATTTTTCATTCTCTCTCTTCGTCATTAAAGCTACACTACCATAAACTTCTCAAGTTGGAACACAGGCTAAGGGTCCAAATCACCACACAGCATGACACTGAGCTCCAACCTACATATCAAAGTTATCGATTTCTGAGTATCAAATTGGTTAACTATGCCACACGTCAAAATAAAATATAAGCAGTCTGGGTTAACTAACAGTGACAAAACAGTAAACAGAAATAATTTGTGCAATTCAATAAGAGAAAATAACATACTTTTTCAAACTGTAAGAAGGTCCTCCATGTTTGTGTAGACAAGTGTAATAGTTACGAAATTCCTCATCACAATGTTTTTTTACTTGTCTGAAGAATTTTTGAGCACAACTAGTCACTGCTTTCCCCTGTTCTAAACATGCTCTAGGATCATGTGTTTCATAGTGACACAGCATAAATTCCTGTAAATAAAAAAAGTTGGATTAAGATACCCCCCCCCTTACCTTGCATTCATTATCACAGAATTTCCCCAGATGTATGCCTGCTGCCAACAATGGGCAAGCTGAGAGTTTTAGCTCTGGAACTGTGAGCTCTTCAAATGTTGGAAGAGGAACATCCAGTGAAACCATCTATTTTCGTGGAAAGAAGCAAACGATTGAGAAATAGGTGATTTTGGTAAAGTTGTATAAGCATAAATTGTAACACAATGGGATCTCCTAAAGTCGTTTCGTATCGGAGTGCCATAAGGCATGGTACTCGGACCTCTCCTATTTATTCTGTATATCAATGAGTTATCTCACGGATTCCCCAACGGTCCTATACGCAGATGACTTGAAAATCTGAAGAGAGCTGAAGGGCGACAGTGATACGCTCATGCTGCATGAAGACCAACTAATTGTTGGAGTGGTCCAGAGAATGGATGCTCCCTATCAATGTAGCGAAATGTGCAACCATGTACATTGGAGACGTTAGCATCAGCCCCTACGAACTAGAGGGAATAAAACTCCCATCAGTTCAGACTAATTTGGATTTAGGTGTCATAGTAAGTCACGAATTAAAAACTACAGCACACTGTCGCGCGGTGGCTGCACGTAGTTTCAAATTCTTAAGGGCAATTCGCAGAGCCTTTACTAGAATCCACAGAGATATGTTCACCTCCTTACATACATCTCTGGTGAGGTCAAGACTGGGAAACTGTATCCAGGATGCCAGTCCTTGTCTTAAAGAGAACTCAGATATTCTAGAAAGGGTTCAAAGGAAGGCGACACGTATGGTTCTAGGCATGACTAACTTAACGTACGAGGAAAGACTAGATAGTTTAAATCTGTTCTCCCTGTCATACAGTTGGCAGAGAGGAGATTTAATCACAATGTTTAAAATTTTAAATAATGACTACGGGGACCTGACCTATTCTCTCTTTTTCTTCCCACCAGGTCGGACACCTTAGAGGACATAGCACGAGAGTTAAAAATCCAAGAAGAAATCCTATTAATGTTGAGTACTGGTTCTCACACCGAGTTATAAACTCTTGGAACCGACTCCCATAAGAAGTGGTGTCTGCAACCTCAACTGATTAGTTCAAGAAGGGTTTGGACAACCACAGAAATTTACTAGAAAAGGATTAACATAGGCAACAAGTCTTCTATCCTCAACCAATAAATCTGAATCTGAATCAGTCACATAAAATATTAAAATATTGAAAGACAGTCTGGTGGACATATAACCACGAGTGAATCATGTAGGGTTGCGCTACAGAAACTAAACGAAATATTTCCCCTTCGTTATACGGCCCACTTCAACGGCAGAATGGCTATGAGACATGGTGTATACATAGATATTAATTCTAAAGTTGTACCTAAATGAGATCGCTACTCGACTTATGACAAATGAGTCCTCAAGCTCGAAACCTGCAAAGTTCTATGTCGAAAACAGACAGACAGAAACCTGCCTTACATATAGATATTCACTACTAAGTAGTATTAAAACTCCCTCAAAAAACTCTTAAAACTTGTCGCCAAATACTTATTTCTGCAAACAGTCATTGAAATGATACACTGTAAATTATTTAAATTAATCCCAGCGTGTTAAGAAAATCAAAAACAAAATTTTTCTGTACGTTTCGCTGTGTTAACCACAGCTTCTTCAGCAGATTTATTGAATTGCATTTCATCTCTTGTGTACAATAACATTTAATATCAAGCAGATCAAAATATGCACCTCGAAAAATTGCTTAAATTGTACTTAAAACCCTAAGAGAACTGTTTCATTGGAGAAAAGAATTGAAAACATTAACAGGTTTTTATACCACAGCATCTTATCACACCTTACATTAGGTTGAAAAAAATGTTTTCAGCTCGAAGGAAACGTTCCTTTAGCTATTTTAAGTTTCTTAGGGCTAAACCCTATCATTTTGGAAGGTATTATGACGTCAATGATGGAAAATACTCAATATAGTAACGCTAATTGATTGGTTGCTGTAAGGCATAACATGAGTGCTTGATTAAATATCTGCCCTTTGGGACACATGAATGTTCTTTTTCTCAGCAGAAGATATGAGTGGTATTCTATGTAATCCTCTCTCCCATCAGATGCAAGAAGAACGTCTTTTGTGAAAACATTTAAATTCTTCACGCATACTTCGCATGTTTCTAATACAAGTTTATACCCAGTTTAACAATCAATACAACAGTAGCAGAATCAAATGACCACTTCATGTTTAAGAATTATCTTTAGGGTTGATGAACTGATCACGGAAGGAATCGCGTTTAGAATCTGTCAACAGAAAAACTGTTCTACCTCTTTTAGTATACCGCAGGTAATCGAAGGATGAATTCATTTTGCACACGTTTTTTAAGTCCTACTACACGAATGACTGTGAAAGTCACTGAAGATGTAAGGTTCACAGATGTTGCAGACTTTTTCTCTCTTATTCATAGAACTGTATAGTTGCAGAATGCGCTGAATTAACATCCATATCAAAAAGTAATCACAGTGTATATTTCGGTAAAGCCTGTAGAGAGAGCCAAGCACCACACAACATTGTAAATTTCTCACACTAACAAAGTGAAACAAGTTAACCCTCAAATCAGATTTTGCGTAGTTGAATTCTTACACATCAGCCTCTGGTTAAAGTCATATTGCCTACCATTTTCGGATTAGAATGGGTCTACTGTTACTCCGTATTTGCAAAATAAGATTTGACTAAACGAAAACGGTTGTAGTAAAAAACCTAAATAATCATTCACAATTTCGTGGGTACATCCCGTGCCTAACGACCAAATATGCCGACAGGTTATTGTTTTCACTTGCACACAATGGGAGACTACCTAATATATTTCGAAAAAATAGTAGATCTACCTTACATATTTGGATTAATGTAAGTATTAGGTGACTTAGAACGGAGGAACTACACAAAATGAAAAAAACAGAAGAGCTAAATACAAATCAGTAGCATTGCTTGAAATTTCTATACGTAAATATCGAATTTGTTATTATCAGCTGCGAATCGTGTCGCAGAGTTTTCTCATCAGTTATTTTTAACATTTCTAGAATACCAAACAAACTAGCACTGCCACGTATAAATCACACTGAGTCAAAAGTCGGTGACACATAGTGTACCGACTAATCTTGTTATCCTGCTAACGCAGTCATACTTAAAGCATCCCTGCTTACATTAAAAGTGATGTAGTTATTCTACTGGGTTGATACTCGCACAGGTGGAAAAAAACAAATGATAGGCGAAACAATCTCCGAGAAAAATGGCACCATAATTAGCTCCCAGGATAGACGTCTGGAGCGCTGGAAAGAACGCTATGAGGAGCAGTTTAATTGGCCCACAGCCACACTTAACCTACCGGACATCCAACACCTCCCTGAATGGGAGATAGACACAGGTCCTCCGTCCTTAACCGAGGTTACTAAAGCTGTCACCAATCTGAAGCTAGGCAAAGCAGCGGGACCTGATTTATTGACTCCAGAGGTATTTAAGTACGGAGGCGACAGTTTACTGTCTGCGTTAACGGAGGTTCTAGGCAGCGTTTGGAAATCAGAGGAAGTCCCATCGGGTTGGTGTAAGTCACTGATCATCCCGATATACAAGAAGGGGGACAAGTCGTCTTGTGATAATCACAGAGGGATTAGCTTGACTAATATAGTATCTAAAATCCTAGGCTCAATAATACTGCGTAGATTAAGTGGTGCTCGGGAGACACAAACACGAGAAAACCAGGCAGGTTTTAGGCCAGATAGAGGGTGTATTGATCACATCTTCACCCTTCGACAGATTCTAGAACATAGGCATTCCTACCGGCGTCCGACAATCATTATATTTCTTGACCTAAAGGCGGCATTCGATTCTGTCGACCGGGAGGTTCTCTGGCGATGCTTGGCTGTAAAGGGAATGCCAAGAAAATACATTGCACTGATTAAGGCACTCTACTCGTACTCATGCAGCCAGGTGAGGGCTTATGGCGAGTTGTCATCTGAAGTGGTGACGACTAGTGGCGTCCGTCAAGGATGCCCATTATCCCCATTCCTATTCAATTTCATCATAGATGTACTAATGGACTTAACCCTAACTCACTTCAGCGACTCAGGGATTGACTTGCTACCAGGGAAGAATCTCGTTGACTTAGAATATGCGGACGATATAGTCCTTCTAGGCGAGGACTCTGACAAAATGCAGAGTCTACTGAACACCCTGAGCAACAATCTCCGCATGTTTGGCATGCGATTCGCCCCTATAAAATGTAAGATGATGCTGCAGGATTGGACTTCATCGACCCCTAGATTAGAAATAGGAAGTGAAGTGGTAGAACACGTTGACCGCTTCACTTACTTGGGAAGTACCATCAGCCCAAACGGGTTGATCTCCGACGAAATTTCAGCACGAATACAGAGGGCTAGGTTCGCATTCGCCAGTTTTCGCCGTCTCTGGCGTAGACGCGATATCCGACTATCGACCAAAGGGCGTGTGTACTGCTCAACAGTCCGCTCCGTCCTCCTTTATGGCTGTGAGACCTGGCCATTGAGAGCAGAAGACATGAAAAGATTAGCTGTCTTCGATCATAGGTGTCTGCGTTCTATCTCCCGCGTGAAGTGGTATAATAAGGTGAGCAATATTGAGGTTAGGCGTCGAGTGCTAGGTAAGGAGGGGAAATCAATCGACGAGACTGTGAAATTACTTCGACTGAGATGGTTAGGACATGTGCTACGTATGCCTAGTCATCGCCTTCCTCGACGGGCAATGTTAGCTGATATAGGGTCAGGCTGGAAAAGAGCTAGCGGCGGTCAAACCAAAACATGGCACCAATCAATGAAATCCACAACAGTTAATCTAAGCCACGTAGGAAGATGTAGACTTCCTGGTTGGGGCCCTCGGGATGGTAAAAACCAATGGTTGGAAACAATTGGTGACATGGCTCAAAATCGTTCTCAGTGGCGCAGATGCATCCACTTCTTGTGACTTATGATTTCCAATTAAACTTTTGTTCTCCGTTATTACTATTCCTTTGTCTCACACCTCTGTTTACTGTCTATATTATGCATTTCTTCTACTTCCTTCTCTTGCTTTCCGTGCTACATAGATTGTGGCGACTTGAACTGCCGCACATATGTGCAAAGTTCTATGTCGAAAACCGACCGACCGACCGACAGGTGGAAAGTATCATGAGTAGGGTATTGAGAAGTGCTGATTTTGAAGCAGAATGTGGGTCTGGCACACATATACTCATGGCTGTGTGTAAACTCTGCACGGTTTCATCAGACATGTTATTCATAAGGTTTAAAAAGATTACTGACGACCATAGGATATGATAATATTGTAGTAGTAAGGCTAGTTCAGTTGGGATTATTACAGGGATTGTGACTTTCGGCTCAATTCAGAGGTAATGTAACTAGTATGTTACATGGCAGTTTATCAGTTCGTGATCGCCATCCATACACACTCGAAAGAGACAAGCTCGTAGAATACTTGCATAGTCTTTATGTATTATCACAAGGCTTTAAACGGTATTCCGTGTATCTGAATTTCTGGTGTTAACTATTGTTATCAAGAATCTGTCGTGTTTATTAGAACTAAACAGCCTTTAGTAAGATAAGATAAATTACATGTAAATGTTGAACACTATAAAGTTAGTACTACTGCCGAGCAGATGCAAGGGACGTGATCAAATCAGTTAGTAGTGGTGACAATAATTCCGAAAATTTTCAAACAAAATCGAATCAATATTTATTCTGATACTACCCATTAAATTACTCCATTACTACTGTGGTAACAGCCCTAGTTCCTGTCTAAAGCACCATCGACAGAATATAGTAAGGAAACGATCCAGTTGATTTTAATGAACAAGTGCCTTTATAATATTGGCTTAGGTATGACTGAAGTCGGTCAAGAACCAGCAAGCACCCATGAAGTGCGACGATACCAATGACTTTGAAACGGCCAACGAGCAAGTAAGTGAAACCTGGTAAATAAATTTGTAATCATAAGTGGAACATGCTTGGTGGAGTATTATTTTAATAAATAGGATATCTGGCAAGTTTCCGGTTAGGTTTGGGAAAGATTACGTTAAGTTTTAGGCTAGGGACAAGTTAAGATTAGGTTAACCTAATGAGGTCGAAATAACAGTTGGTTCGAGTTAGATTTTAGGGATGTTTTCACGTTAGGGTTGGTCTAAAGAAAAATTAGAGTTATTGTTGGGATTAGAAGACCTAGATGACGACATACATAAAATGTGGTAGAATTACTCTGTTGATAATCCAATCCAAAACCAAGAGGTATTTTTGACATGTTAAAGAACGGTATCCTATGTAACAGGTTCATGTTTTTAAATTCATTATTTTCATGAATATATGCATTTAATACGCAAAAATAGTCTTTATTATGTGGCTGGTGCGTCTAAGGTCATCTTTCTGTTGGCGCTCACTGGTACTCAAAGTTTAACTTGTGCTAAAACAACTTAGACAAGCTCAAGGCTGTTTCACACATAACTGACCTAGAAGTCGGAATTGCCGGTTGTAAGGAAACACGTTCAAACACGGATGCTCCTTTCGCTTACGTAATATCCCCGTCTAATGGTATTTGATAACATGTTTCTTATAACACGAAACTATTCCAAAAACCATTAATGAGTGACAGAAAATAAATAATTTAGTAGTTGACTGACAGTATATTCCTAACAGAATCATTCGGATATCACTTTAGATTCAGATTATAAGGATAGAAGGCTCTTGTTGCCTGTGTTAATCCCTACGATATATATCTCTGCAGAGATCTAGCTGCTCTTTTAAAGCGTTCACCGATGGAGTTGTTACTACTGAATCAGGTAAGGAGTTCCAGTCGTTGCCCACTCTATGGCAGAACCTAAATTCTACACTTATTTTATTCGACCTCTGTTTGAGCACCTTCTTGTTGTGAGCTCGTTAATGTAACCTTAGAAGTGGTGAAAAGATTAGAAAGGTTAGCTCCTAAATCGCCTTCAAGTATACGGCATGCTAAAATTAAGTCACGTCTCTTCCTTCGGTATGATAACGGGAAGAGATTTAAATACTCCATCCTTTTGTCATAGAAGGTGTGAAATACCACTAAATAATTTGGTTCCTACCCTCTGTACTCTTTCTAAGATATGTCCCTCCTTCTTGAGGGATAGACTAGCCACTTGTATGCAGTATTCTAGATGAGGCCTGACATTTGCTGCCTTGAGTATCTTGAACGTACACTCATGTAATCTTTTGAAAGCTTTCTTGAGTGCCTATAGCATTCGAAAAGCCTTAGCTGCGGCTGCACTGCAATTTGAGGTTGTTTTCAAATCATTGCTGACAATGATTCCTAGGTCCTTCTGTCTGTTAACATCAGGTAGTTCTGTGTCCTCTAGGGAGTAGGACGTGTAAGACTTCTGACCCGAGTGCATTAGCTCACTTTTCCTAGAATTAATTTACAAACTCTACAGCTTCGACCACTCAGCTAATTTATCTAAGTCACTTTGTAGGGCCAACCTATCGTCGTTATTATTTACAGTTTTCCATTACTTTATATCGTCCAAAAATAATAAGGAAGATGAGGTAAAAATTTTCGGAAGTTTTTACACATAAGCGGAATAGCAGGGGGCCAGGTACAACTCCTTCAGGTACTCTGCTTAGTACTGCTTTCCGCCCTGATAGTGCTCCATTAACCCTTACCTTCTGCCTTTTAACCGTCAGGTAGTCATTAAACCACTCACATAGGAGTTGGTCTAATCGAAAACGTTTGAATTTACTAAGACCTAAATGGGATAACTTATCGAATGCTTTAATAAGATCGATAAAGACAACGTCCCATAGATGGTTCTTATCCCTGGCTTTGACCCAATCTTCCCTAGCCAAAAGTAATTTTGTCAGGCAGGACCGTCCAGGTCAGAATCCGTGCTGTTCCACCGCCAATAAGCCGTGTTTCCCCATGTGAGCTGAGAGCTTATCCCTTATGAGTGTTTCCAGTACCCTTGCTATAATGCAGGTTAGACTTACAGGCCGGTATTTAGATACTAACTGCCTGTTCCCCTCTTTGAAGATGTGGTTTACAAAAGCATCTTTCTAGTCCCTGGGTAGCCTGGCCTGGGTCAGACACGTCTGAAAAATCTCTGTAGATGGAATGTATGTTATATCCGCCAAGGAGATTAGCAGTCTAGGGTGAAGTCCTCCGGGTACACTTGATTTGCCTGGCTTCATCTTAGACAATAGTTTGAGAACCACCGCATCCTCATCCATATTTGAGGGCATTTTAGAGGCTACAGCAGTGACCTCGCTATACTCCTGAGTGGTTTAGCTGGATGAAAAGATATCGCAAACGTATTGGGAGTCTGGCGTGTATCAACAGACCAGTCAGCTAGGGTTGCTGCATTCCAGATTCGCTTTCCAAATGTTTGGACGGCCACCTGTTCACCTATGCATGACAGCGTGAATCCTAAACGTAAGAGTGATAACTGTATGTTCACCACTGCCTATTGGCACCAGGCACCTAGTGTCACCAACATCCTCCCTCTGGTGTTAGCAGCAAGTCTAGAGCAAACGAATTATGTCCAGGGTGGTATCGTGTCGGTGCATCTCTACGCGGCACAATTACGCATTCAAGCACTGGCAGTGTGAGTTCCCCGTCGAAACAGGTATACAAGGTAGTTGACGTTAGTTCCTCCCAGTTGATATGTTGGTTTTTAAAGTCACCTACTATTAGACACATATTTCAACTGCTTCACATCCTGAAGTGATTTAGTAAGAAATCGTTAGCCTGACTGGTAGAACTTCTGTAAATAACCCCAACTGTTACAGTGCCCTTGTTCAAGTTAATGACATGGCCAGCGGCTTCACTGTTGCCGCTATCACCAGCTTCCGACAACGGTGATCTAATTCCCATGTCATCCCGGAAGTATAGGGCAACCCCACCAACTTTCTGACTAATTACTCTGTCTGTTCTAACACAGACGTACCCAGGTATGATTGGAGCTAAGTCTACACCCATTAAAAACCATGTTTCAGTGGTATCGATCATATCAGGTTGCAGTCACTCATATAACACTACCTGACCCCTAGTTTTTCGGGACAGTTTCGTGCCGTAGAAGGATTTTGGCACACTGTAACTCTTCTGTGTATACCGCTTCGGGATGTTGTTCTGTCTCACTCTTATAACTCAGTCTAGAATCATCATTCCTGGCATCAATTTCAGGTTTTGGCTTTTTTCCCTCATGTGAGACTTTTGTCGATTGTTTGGACACAGAAAGCCCTACAGCCTCTTGGATGAAGATGTCAGTGGGCTGAAATAAACTTTACACACCCACAAAGACGATGGCTTGCTAAGTCTCCTATAGGCTAACAGTGATAAGCCAGTGCAACGTTTATGAAACTATAGGTTGCAGTTATCACACTGCATCGCATCATCGGAAAGTTACAGTATGGCCATACAACGCGGTACGTCCATAGGTTTGCGTTACATTTTTGCGTGATTCGTTACATAAAATTTATCTTGTTGTAATCCTTGCACAAGTACTCTACTACCTCCATACCTATGACTATTAACTCTCACCCACAGCTATTAGTGAAACTCATGTTGGTATAAGTTGTTTAGATTACACAGACAAACATATATATATTTATAAACACAGGGATATAAAAACCACATAGAAAGTCGCAAAAGTGAACAAAACAGGCAATACTTCAACTTATCAAAACCAGTTAAAGTAAACCAAAAAGCCTCTGATGCGATGTGCACAACAAAAGCAGAAGTTACTGCGCAGCATAAAAAATGTCACTCTACTTTTCGGATATCACTTCCTGATTGTGGTTGGAGACACGGGACTTCCCTTTTTTCTTTACACGCCTTTCATTAGGAAGTCATCGGAAGTAAGTTCCAAACGAATGTTTCTGTCAGCGTACTGAGCACTTCCAGTTTTCTATTATATGGTGACTCAAACAGTAGAATACACTATAAAATAATAATATAATATATATTTATCCCTAGATAATCAGCTTTATATACTCTTACGGAAGCACCCAAAGATTTGTGCAGAGACAGACGCCGGAGCCAAGTATGTGGTGAGGTGGATAACTAATAGTGTTTATCATATATTGGGCCGCGGTAAATTTACTTTGACTGAGTTCTACTCTTCATCGGTCATCGGTTTTGATCGTATTTCGTCAAAATAATTTGTCGTCCTGCTCTCTCCCTCATGTTTCCGCAATGTGAGTGGGGAAAGCAGGCTTCTAAATTCTATTTAAGGCCTTAAGACATTGTTAAACACGTCATGGAGACAGTCGGAATCAAACATTTTAATATCCGCGACATGGTCAGATTTTCATTTTCCGATCGTATGTACGTTGCTGCAATCCGAGTAAGACTCAATGCTATGAGGAGCCTGTAATTCTTTCTACTCGGTGATACTGCTGGGTCTGTTCCCCAGTTTTAACCGTAACACATCATGCTTTATATAAACCAATATCCTTTGTCTACATCACCTTGACGAGGTCAAATCAAACCCCCTTGCGGTGACAGCCTGTTTTTCTGACCCTGAATAACTCTCCACATCGTTACCCATTCTTATGGAGGAGAATTTCTCAGTATTGATGCTAGAGATTGCAAGCCCTTAAACTAGACCCATGAGAAATTTCCTTAAACACCACGTAGTTCCGGGTGATTTACACAAAAGCCAAGCAATGCACCCGGCAAAATGGTGAACGCATGTTGAATTCGGAGCCAAACATATTGCCTGAAAAGACATTTATCGTCCGCCTAGGCTACGGATATATCTCATTCTTGTGCTTAAGATAAACTGGTCAGGAGTAAAGTCATCACAGCTGAGTACTAGGTAGCTAGCAGTTTCCGCGATAAGTATACCTTTAAAAATGCTGAGGTCTGTGATGTCAGTCTCACTCTGTCGGTTAGTGTCAATAGTCAATCGGTCTTGTGGAGTAAAGAGAAAGTAATATGGTAAATCTACTACGGCTTCTGATAACCAGCCAAATATATCAAGTGGATTTACTGAAGGCAGCGTTGAATCTGGTACATATGGTAGGCTACTCACAAAAGTATAAAAATGACCAGTAAAACGTAAGTTAGTTTACCAACAACAATGTTTGCAGTAATGCTGTCCGCAAGCGGCTCACGAAGCGAAACTATTATTATATAAAACTTGTGTCAGACCACTACTAGGATATTGTCCATTTATTCTCAGCAGCACTCGCGTAAATGACAAGCTTAAAATAGGAAGTGTCCAACGATATTTCACGTCTAAACTTCTAGGATTTGACTGCGTAAAGGACTACACATCAAGGTGTATAACTCTAGGTATCGACCCACTCTGGATGAGACGACTCAGCATTAATCTAACATTCTTCTTTAAAGTCTTGCATAAAATATCATTCTCAGACAGCAAGGAGATACAGTTCTCACCGGAAGGCTCTCACAACTTTCGTAACCAAACGTGCACAGTATCTAGGAAAAACTGTAGGACAGAACTCCGTGCAAACTTCTTCATAGTCATGCATTCTAAGATCT